CCCGTAGTCTGGACCGATGCGGAGTTCTTTGATATTTCACAATGTATCATAGAAGGGTATTATTTGGTGATAAATAGTCAAGCCAAGTTTGGCTTGACAAGTAATAATTCGATTGAGGGATAAAAGTGGTGGGCCCACTTGTCAAGGCTTGGAAAAACATCCAAACCAAACATTATACTACCAGGTACTATTGATCCCATCAAGGCTAATAATGCAAACCAAAAGAGCCCTAAGAGTACCGATATATATATCTCATTCGCTCGAGTTATAAGCACAATAAATTGTGCAATGTCGCTTCTCATATTTTGGATTCCAATATTATGAAAATTTTAATAATAGGCACATAATTCTACTCATAAGAATTCAATTTTATGATGGGGCCATTTAAAATCACATCTACGACTTATGTAAGAATCGGACCTACATAGTACATTAGTATTATTCCATATTTAAAATTGCAAGTAATGCATAATTTATCACATAATCATAATTACATATTTACAATCATAGACTTAGTAAATAAGCATGGATCACATTGATCCGGACTGAGGTTTGGCCCAAGGGCCCAACATCTTGGAAGTCCATTAAGGAAGGTTCGTCGGAGGTCCACTAAGACGCAAGGCCCGTAAAGGAGAGTGCAGGAGGAAGCCCTCTCCTCCAAAGCTTAGGTCCCCAGCATGAAGAGGTGATGACGGGGTTTTCCGAGCGTATAAGCGGCGCTCGGAAGAGGACTAGGGTAGTCCTGCCGATAGGCCTGAAGGTCAGGACAAGTACGGAAGAGCGGCTTTAATGACACTGACAAACACTCGTTATGTCTCTAGCAGTGAATTAAATGCCCTGACAAGGGTATTTAATGCTAGAATGACCAAGCACGACCGAAAGCCCGAGGAAGCATGAATGAGGCCCACCCCATCAAATCCACGGAGGTGAGTTCTGATTATAAGGAAAGTATGACTGCCTGATCATACTTGAGTTAACGATATGTAAACAGATATTTGTATATTGAAGCTACTGAATACTTCTAACTCATTTTCTTATTAAGGTTGTCGAGATTATAGTCATGAAATCACTGAATATTTATAAACTGACACACAATCCAATAATTTACTGACGCGAGATGTGGGTGTTAAACTAATAAAAAGTTGTGTGTATAATCTTCAAACTTAAACAGTGTCCAAATAGTGATCGATAGACTAAGTAATAGTGAAGTTCGAACGGCGGTTGACAACGAAAAATTGACATGAAAGACATGGCGACAATGCATTTGGTGTCGTCTGGGATATCGACATTCAGCCGCGCTCGACACGTGCATGGAGAATCGACATCGCTATATGTAGGTCTATAATAGGATTGAATTAATGTTAATGTAAAAACACTATGAAATAGATCACATTGACCAAATTTTCTTTTAATAGTAGATTTTACTAAAATAAGAAACTAGATCTTGTACTAATTACTAAATAATTAGTTAGTTTAGGTTTAGTAATCCGAAATAATATGACCCGTGCAATCAAACAATGTTAAAATATAATGCCTAGAAAAAAAAATACTCCCTTTGCAATGTTCTAAAATGTGGTTATTGGGTCCGAGACAGTAGGTAATTAATTAGAGATAAATTGAAAATAAATTCGTTTTATATTTACTGTAATATATTTTTAAATATTATTTGTAAATACTCAAAACATATATTAAAAAAATATTTAAACATTATTATATCACCACCCATCGCCTCCTGCCTACCGCCTCCCGCCGATCGCCATCTCAGTCTTTATTAGCAGCCGTCTGAGGAGTGTGGTTTGTCTCGGGTTTGTAAGTTTTGGTCAGGTTCTTCTTTCTTACGTGGGTGGTGAATTCGTTTGATTTTGGTTAAAATAAATTGGGTTAAAATTTGAAAAAAATATATATTTCTTTTTTCGATTTATTGACTTGATATATCAGCTTCACCCCCTAAGACTACCACATACTGCCACAAACCGCCGCAAACTGCCTCATCGTCCAAAAACTGATTTTTCAAACCGCCTCATCAGTATTGTAAATATGTACAATCATCATCGGTTGATATATCGGCCTCCACGGACGATATTAACAACACTGCTATTTTGTAATAATTGTTGTGCAAGTGTTTGTGCACAAATATTAGGAAATTACTAATTATGTTTGGGTTTGGGTTTTAGGAAAGAAAAAATGTATAATATGAATAAAACACCATTCTTATCAATTTAATTTCTACTAATTTTGTTTCAACTAAATAAATAAGAGAAAATTTGAGGGAAAGAAAACATTAAAAAATAGGGATTATTAGTGAAAACCCCCCAACACATTTAGTTATATTAGGATGGATATAAGATCATTTTCCATATTAGTGAAAACCCCCCTCATTATATATTTTAATTTACCATAAATTCGAATTTTAGGGATATCTCTATATTACCCTTAATTATCATTAAACCCTATTTTTCCCCTCACTTGTCTTCACCAGCCGCATCTCTCTTTTTCTCTCCCTCGCCACAGATCTGCACCTCCGCCACGCAGCCTCTCCCCCACCCCCGCCTCACGGTCTTCTATATTTTTTTTCATCCCTCTTCTTCTCTCGCAATAGCTTTTTTATGTGCGAATCCCATGGTCAAGGGCAATTATGAAGAAGATGACGAAGCTTCTTCTTCAATCCATTTTTCCGCCGTTTTTTGGGAACAACTTCCAGCGTCACATGACTCCGATCCAACGTCGACGACCTCTTACCCTTCATGACGGTGTAACACCGGTGATGACGAGATCCGGATCGAAGCAAACGAGATTATTTAGGTTTGTCTGTCAAATTTCTTCATTATTTAATCATCTTTATTTTGCAACTGATTGATTTTTTAGATTAATTGTTATGATGTTGTTGTCTTGATTCAACTGTCAAATTACAGTATGATTCAATTTCTATCATGTCTTATTTGTTGAATAATTTTGTGATTTGAGTCTTGCGTTTGTTTAAATAGAAAATCAGCAATTTGTTGATGTTATTACATATTTTGGATATTATTGTGTGTTCTGATTTGAATTTTTATTGAATTGTTTTCTGTTTGTCTTTATGTATGAAATAGTTGCGGACATCAGGATTATTTTATACATAGCTCATTCGAAATTTACGAAGATCTATGGAAGAAAACTCATATGATCGGAGTTGTATCTTGGCCCTATCTCTGAAAGAAAACTCCTATCTCAGCCATGGCAAAGTACAAGAAATGAATTTATAGAAGTTTTCTCTAAAATTGGAGTTGTTTATTTTGTAGTCAATTTTTGTAAATTTGTAGTTGTTTTCGATTTTTGTAGTTGTTTTTGACAATTTGTAGTTGCTTTTGATAATTTTTAGTTGATTTCATTAAACAACTAGATTTTATTGTTGTTTTCGATATTTTATAGGTGATTTCAATTTTTTTATAGTTGATTTCTTTAATTTTTAGTTGATCTTATTTGGTAAGATTGCCATTGAAAACAACTATTTTTTGTGGTTGTTTTAGAGTTTTCTTAAAGTTGATTCGGAGAAAAAACGAGAAAAAAAAATAGTTGTTTTCGGTAAATTTATAGTCGATTATGAACAAAATAGTCAAAAAGAAAAACAAAATTTTAGTTGTTTAGGAAATATTGTAGTTGTTTTCGAAAAAATAGTTGTTTTCGGTAAATTTATAGTTGATTATGAACAAAATAGTCAAAAAGAAAAATAAAATTTTAGTTGTTTAGGAAATATTGTAGTTGTTTTCGAAAAGTTTATAGTTGTTTTCGGAAATTTTATAGTTGTTTTCGAAACTATTATAATTGATTTGAAAACCCAACAGCAAAAAAATAAATAAATAAATAAATAAATAAATAAATAATATTATGTTTTTTGAAGTAAAGAATATTTTTTAAATATTTTTTTTTAAAAAAATAAATACAGAAATAAACGAAAAGTATTATTAAAAGAAATTAAGAAGTCATTAAAGTAGTGGTAGTGAATAGTAGGAGGGTAAATTTGGAATAAGAGAAAAATTGGATCTACCACTAGTAAGAAAAAATGGGCTGGATCCATTCTTATTAAAAAAATGCTATAGGGGGTTTCACTAATTATCCCTCCCTAAAAAATAAAAATAATTTCAAGGGACTATTTCAAGTCTACGTGTAAGAATTTCAGACAGTCCGACATTAAGAAACTAAAAAAAATGTCAAATGTCTGTGCAGAAATCAGATGATATCAACAACAACACCAAACTCGCAACCACCTCTGTGCATTGTCGTTCCTAAATTCCCGTCGAGTGTGAACAGAACAAACCCCAAATTCTTAATCTTCCCCCGCATACACTTGTCCCATATACAACCACACTTTTCAATCTCTCTTTCACCTGCACACTTTTCTTCTGTTTGACACGTGTCCACAAATCCCACGTCACCTAATTCAATCCCATATAAAAGTCGATTTAATTATACGTACAATTACGATGATCTATGGCGACCATGAATCCACCGCCGATACAAGTACAACAGAGTAGCAGCACCACCACTACTACTATAGATAATTCCCTTTCAATTTACAGTCCCTTACTCATTTCCATGCTTGGCATCATCGGCACCTGCATTGCCATCATCGCCTACCACCTCTTCCTCGTCCAGTACTGCATCTCCACCCGCCGCCGATCCACCGCCCCCGAGGAGGAGGAGGAGGCTCAATTACCTCACCCCGCCGGAGTCGACGTCAAACTCCTCCAGACAATCCCGATCCTCACTTACGCCGCCGTCAAGGGCGGCGCCGGCGCCGATCAGGACGAGTGCGTCGTGTGTTTGGGGGAATTGATGGACGAGGAAAAGGTGCGCCTGCTGCCCAACTGCAGGCACGCGTTCCACGTGCCGTGCATCGACCTGTGGTTCGCGGCGCACGCCAGCTGCCCGCTGTGCAGGTCTCCGATCGCGGAGGCGGTAATTGCGGACTCCCCGATCTTAGATCCTGCCGCCGCCTCCGCCGCCGCCGCCGATGATTATCCCGAGAGCGGCGAGTCCAGTACTGCGGCGAGCGGGAGCAGCGAGACGTCTCCCAGGGAACAACAATCGCATTTCGGTTTGCTCCGCCACTGCGCGTCGGTGGTGTTACCGATTCCGGCGGAGAGGAGAGCGCCGCCGCAGTTGAAACGGTCAGTGTCTACGGGTCAGACGACGTCGTTTGTGGTAATTGATTTGGAAGGGGTTAATAATAGTGAGACGAACGCTTCTTCGCTGTCTCCTTCTTTTTCGGGAGGTATGCTGACGTGGAGTACAGCTGGATCGTTGAGCAGTAGATCGGTGAGTCATTTTGACCGAGTTTCCGTTAAGTGGCTCAGGTCCTTTTCGCTAATGCGTTTGGGCAAGCCTAGCAATCGCAGAATTCTACCTTACTAGAAATAGAGAATTTTTCTTTCTTTCTTTTTTTTTTTTTTTTTGAATTTCATACTTAAATTCTTGTTAGGCTTGCCTTTGAATGTATATAGAATAGCTAAATAATTTTATTGATTACTTTTATTCTAAGTACTTGTACAAGTTAAATGTTTCTTTTTTTCTATATGCTTTTTCAGGGTCGATCCTGACATTTTCGGGGCCTTAAACGAGCTTTTGAAAAATGACACCTTTATGATTCGAACTTATTTAACTTAATAAAACAAATAAAAAACAAAAATAAATATATTGTAACATTAGTGAAGGAGGATAAAATGCATAAACTACACTAAATATCACTTATATACATATACATATATGATCCCGCCCAAAAACAACGTGGCCGAAACAGTGACCTCCCAGTCCTTGTGGTGGACCTGCAAAAAAGGAAGACCGGACTGATGCCGGATTTAGCACTCCGACGATTAAGTCAGTATCTATTTACCAGTGTTCTTGTGGGATATTATGTAACGTGCATGTTTTGTATGTTTGTTAGAGTATGAGATAAAAAAGACATGCCTCCTCTTCTAGGCACATATGCCTATTTATAGTACCTGGCGGGGCCGTTTCCCGGCTTCCTCGGGCTCTGGTTCAGAAGACCTGCTTTCGGCAGTCCTTTTATCTTTCGGCCGGACGGTCTGGGCCATCATGGCATCCCTATTTTCCTAGGCATTATCATGCCCACAGGTCTGTCCCTCTGTGTACTCCCTGGCCGCACATGGTCATTCGCCCATTAAATGCTTCTGTCAGAGCATTCAATGCGCCCCTGTGCAGACCTGTCAGCGCAATTATTTCTTCATTTCCTACTTTTTCCCGACCTCCTTTCCCCTCGGCCGGGGATCTCGAGTACATCCTTTCAATCGAGTCCTCGCGGCAGCATGGTTTTTCCCTCCTTTTGGCCTTTCTATTCTTCCTTGGGCCGGTTGGGCTTTCCCTGGGCTGCTTCGGTGGGCTGCTGTATTTGGGCCTTGTAGCTCTGGTCTTAGTCCGGATCAATATATATATATATATATATATATATATATATATATATATATATATATTCTTGGGAGGCCTAAAGTCATTGCTTATGCCGCATAGTCTCAAGGCCGGCCCTGCGCTCTTCTTTATTTTAGGTCTCGTCTTTTTACTACTATCGAGTTTTACTGACTAAATAAAAATATTAGAGCTTAGTAAAAAAATTGATTGATAAAACTTTGTACTTACTCAAGCGACTTAAAGCCCACTGAAACTCATAATTAAATGGTACGAACTTATTAAATTCATAGCATTTCTCTACTTGCGATTAATTTTGTAAGGCGACTGCAAAAGAAAAAAAACTAGTTTATTAAAGTTGTTTATATCACAGAAAAACATTATCATGGCGATTAATTTTGTAAGGCGACTGCAAAAGAAAAAAAAAACTAGTTTATTAAAGTTGTTTATATATATATATTATACATAATTTTTATAGTAAATAAAGCATATTTTCATTCTAACATATTAATTGATTACTCATTTCCAATTAAATAACACCGTATCAATTAAACTTGTTCTTATTTTACATACACAGCATATCAACACATACACATCACACCGTATCATTTAAATATTATAGAAATTATAATTAAAAAAAGGGGAAACTACAGATAAATCCCTAATCCAAAACTCAACACACAGATTAGTCCCTAGGTAGTTTCCCCAAGCAATTCAGTCCCTATTCACGCGTCTGACATGCAGTTCAGTCCCTAATCTGAATTTTATATATTTTATTATATTCTCTCTCTTCTTTTTCACTCTCACCATTTTCTCTCTCTTCATTTTCTCTCTCTTCATCTTCTCTTTCTTTCTTCTCTTTCTTCTCTGTTTCTACTGCTCTCTTTCTTCTCTATTTCTTCTCTCTTTCTCTCCTCTGGTTTCCTCTTTTTCCGACGAAAAAATCACTGTAAAACCCACCCACCCCACAATGGTTTCGAATCCCGGAAGGTTATTTTACTGTTGCCCACACCATGGCTACTCCCATTGGTGTGAACCATTTGAAGTTGGGCAAACTTTTTCCAACTCAAATCGTGAAGAAAATGAAGCTACAAGTGCGTCGATGAACCAAGTCCATCAAGAAAGTGAAGTGAAGAATTGCAATTCTGAAGGTGGAGTAGTTCATAGTTTGATAGTGTTGAATCTAGTAATATTTTCAGTCTACATGCTATGTAAAACCTATGTACTGTTGTTTAATTAGTGAACATAAGAGTACAATGTATAAGCTGCTAAAGTTCGGGTTATTCGTGAATATAGTACGCTTTGTCCACCAAATAAGTACAATGTATAAGCTGGTAAAGTTCGGGTTATTCGTGAATATAGTACGCTTTGTTCACCAAATAAGTACAATGTATAAGCTGGTAAAGTTTGGGTTATTCGTCAATATAGTACGCTTTGTTCATCAACTAAGTACAATGAATACGCATGTGAAGTACAAGTGATTCGTGACTATAGTACGATTTGTTCACTGATAAAGTATATGTTTGCCATTTATATAGTATTGTTACAGTCTATATATTATTGTCGGCCCAATGCATCCATATGATCGCATTTTAAGACACAACTCTTCATTTTAAGACTATTAAGAATGAATGGAGACAATGTGGGAGTTGATCAATATCGATTATGGTAACAATTGAAGAAAATATTAGTTTTACACTTGAGCATTGTAGACTTGTATGAATATATTGTATAGTATATGAGTATCATGTATGAAATTCAACATATTTATGGGATTTTGTATTCCAAACGCAACAATAATTCTCACATACCTTAAAATAACCATCTAAAACATAATTTATGCATCTCCAGTACTTATTGATCATTAAAGCGTCAATGAAATTGGTACGATGCAATTCATCAAAAAATATGGTACGCTTTGTTCATCAAGTAAGTACAATGAATACACTTGTGAAGTACAAGTGATTCGTGACTATAGTACTCTTTGTTCACTGATAAAGTATATGTTTGCCATTCATATAGTATTGTTACAGTCTATATATTATTGTCGGGCCAATGCATCCATATGATCGCATTTTAAGACACAACTCTTCAGTTTAAGACTATTAAGAATGAATGGAGACAATGTGGGAGTTGATCAATATCGATTATGGTAACACTTGAAGAAAATATTAGTTTTACACTTGAGCATTGTAGACTTGTATGAATATATTGTATAGTATATGAGTATCATGTATGAAATTCAACATATTTATGGGATCTTGTATTCCAAACGCAACAATAATTCTCACCTATCTTAAAATAACCATCTAAAACATAATTTATGCATCTCCCGTACTTATTGATCATTAAAGCGTCAATGAAATTGGTACAATTCAATTCATCAAAAAATATGGTACGCTTTGTTCATCAAGTAAGTACAATGAATACACTTGTGAAGTACAAGTGATTCGTGACTATAGTACGATTTGTTGACTGATAAAGTATATGTTTGCCATTCATATAGTATTGTTACAGTCTATATATTATTGTCGGCCAATGCATCTATATGATCGCATTTTAAGACACAACTCTTCATTTTAAGACTATTAAGAATGAATGGAGACAATGTGGGAGTTGATCAATATCGATTATGGTAACAATTGAAGAAAATATTAGTTTTACACTTGAGCATTGTAGACTTGTATGAATATATTGTATAGTATATGAGTATCATGTATGAAATTCAACATATTTATGGGATCTTGTATTCCAAACGCAACAATAATTCTCACCTACCTTAAAATAACCATCTAAAACATAATTTATGCATCTCCCGTACTTATTGATCATTAAAGCGTCAATGAAATTGGTACAATTCAATTCATCAAAAAATATGGTACGCTTTGTTCATCAAGTAAGTACAATGAATACACATGCGAAGTACAAGTGATTCGTGACTATAGTACGCTTTGTTCACTGATAAAGTATATGTTTGCCATTCATATAGTATTGTTACACTCTATTTATTATTGTCGGGCCAACGCATCCATATGATCGCATTTTAAGACACAACTCTTCAGTTTAAGACTATTAAGAATAAATAGGAACAATGTGGGAGTTGATCAACATCGATTATGGTATGTTTTTCGTGAATACACATGTGAAGTACGCTTTGTTCATCAAGTAAGTACAAGTCTAGTGTTGACAAGGTATCATCGAATAGACTAGAAAGTATTTGTTGCTCATTTTTATGGTACGCTTATATTCTTTATACAAACTAATTAATTGCAAAATAAAGCCGCAATCAAGGTTCCCATCCTGCTGCATGCATCCATGAACCCATTGAGCTTCCGATTGTATCTCCAACCCAGACATTCTTTCAATCACCTTGCGGTAAAACGAGGCCTACGAAAATAAAATACATACATTGACTGCAATCTTCTTTTACATCAATTCCTGCAATTACATACACATAAAACTACAATTATAACAAATACAACGTACTATAAAGTTCCACATGTCAATATCATCCAAAGTTACTAGTATTACCATTCAAAGGCACTAGTAATACTATTATGGCATATGACTTATACTACAGGACCATTAAACATTATACTTCTAGTACCATATGTCAATACCATCCAAAGTCACTAGTAATACCATTCAAAGGCACTAGTAATATTATTATGGCATATGACTTATACTACAGGAGCATCAAACATTATACTTCTAGTACCATATGTCAATACCATCCAAAGTCACTAGTAATACCATTCAAATGCACTAGTAATACTATTGTGGCATATGACACATACTACAGAACCATCAAAGATTATACTTCCAGTACCCTGCGTTAATACCATCCGAAGTCAAGAGCAATACCATTATTACATATGACATATCCCTTGTTGGGACTAAATGCTTTCGGGACAGTACTTCGAGTACCCTGTGTCAATACCATCTAAATGCACTATTAATACCATTACTGTCCATGACACATACTATAGAACCAGTACGAAAAATACAATAAGCCTCTTTCCCATATCCTATATGAAACCCTTGTTAAGACTCAAAATACTTTTGGGACATGCTAATGTCACCGAAGAATAATACCCATGAGGAAACTGTTACAAAATCATGAAATTCGACAACAAATAAATGATCTTTGCAAACTCAAACAACAGAAAAACAGATATTGGAACCGATTTAATGATTAGGGAAAACACCGAATAAAGTCGAGGCATAATACCCATGAGAAGATATGTTCAAAATCATGCAATTCTACAACAAATAAACATTTTTGCAAGCTTAAGCAACACCCAAATGAGTCTGTTTCCAAGAAAATGAAAGAAAAAAAAAAATACAACCTTGTTGTTTACCCTGCTTCACCATTGTCGAGAAATGGGTTTGTTTATTTTTATTTTTCCTTTCGTTGTATAATTTTTCTGCGTTTTGTTGATTCTTCGTGCTTCGTTGTTTCTTCTTTCTTTGTTGTTTCTTTGTTCTTCGTTTCTTCTCCGTTTCTTCTTTGTCTGTAAATGGGTATAAACTGAACGGTGGTTTTTTTCCTGCGCCTTTTTAGCTTCTTTCTTGTTGTTTGATTTTTGAAATGTAACGGGCAAAGAGCGTGTAACACAAACGGCGCGTTGGAGGTTGGAAATAAGTTATGTAAAATTAGTATAAAGTAAAGGGTATTTTAGTATTTGCACATTTTATTAGGGACTGAACTGCATGTTAGGCGCGTGAGTAGGGACTGAATTGCTTGGGGAAACTACCTAGGGACTGATCTGTGTGTTGAGTTTTGGATTATGGATTTATCTGTAGTTTCCCCTTAAAAAAAACATGTCTTCAATTTTTTTTATTTTGATTTAATTTTTTTTAACCGAGCAGTAAAAATACATCGTTTTGGCCATTTTATTTGTTTATGTCTTTTTTAAAACACAATTTTATTTGTTTATATCTTTTGTCATTCAATATTTAAGTTTTTTTAGTAATTTCAATATTTAAGTTTGAGATCACCTAGACACACGGTTCCTTTGACCCTACACCCGGTAAAAACATCGGGTGGGTCTTTTGCCACGTGTCCCTTTTTTTATTTTTCTAAAACTCCTAAACTCTAGCGAGAAATATATTATAAAATACAAAAAAGAGACAAGTGACAGCAGAAGACCCACCCGGTGTTTATCACCGAGTGTAGGGTCGAACAAATCCACATTCACACATTCAATATGCAATATTCATTCTGTCTTTTGTAGTTTGATTAATCATTTTATTTTCACGCAAATATATATGTTTGCACTCAACTATGGGAAGTCACGTGACTAATTACCTCAAAAACCAGTGGTCACGTGACTTCCCCCGTAGTTTTGGCCGTCAACAACTCATTATGGAGGACTAAAGTGTGCAGTAATGATCAAACTTCAGGACGCAATTGGTAATACCGTAAAGTATGTGGACTGAATGCACATTGTGGATATTATTACAGGATAAAACCTGCAATTTACGATAGGAGAATTAATCCATCAAGCACAAAACTCAACACGCTTTGGGATTAATCTGAACGAATCATATTAAAAAAATAGCTAAAAACCAATGTTATCAGAACCGGACCAAAACCGGATAGGCTTTCGGGTCATGGTTGGACCAGTTCAACCGGGTTCGAGTTCGACCCCAGTTTTTTATTTTTTTAATTATTTTATTAATTTTAATGTTTTAAATTTATATTTTGTATATATATTTTATCTTTTACACTCAATTTACTTTTATTATTTATTTTTTATATATAAACTATTCTTTCTATTATCTGCCTTTTTTTTCTTTTGTATTTTTTTACACACTCTTCTTTCTCCTCTCTCTTCTCTCCATTTTTTCTCTCCCGTCACCTCCATCATCTTCATCACTATCTCTCTTTCTTGCTCATAAAATTCTCTAGTTTTTGTACTGTCTCTCTTCCTTTTATTTTTATTATTTTTCTTCTTTTCCATCTTCTTCTTCTTCATCCCGTCGAATTCCGGCCACCAACGGCTAGATCTCTGAAATTCCGGTCACCCACCGCCTGCTCCACCTAGATCCGGCCATCCCCGGTGAATTTCAGCCGAATCCCGCCGCCAATAGCCACCAACGAAGTGTTTTAGATGAAAACCGGGTGATTGACCGGTTTCCGGGTTAGCCGGTTTTCACCGGTCGAACCGGTTTTTTGTGATTTGGCCCGGGTTTTGACTTTTCCGGTTTTAGGCATCAGATCGGCCCATTTTTGTTGCGGGTCGCGGTCGGACCGGCCGGTCCGGTCCGGTCCTAATATCATTGCTAAAAACTCAATTACTGCAAATCTTCGAAAATTCCAGTGGTTTCGCACGAATCGAATTCTTTTCCAGGGTTTGTAAATTCCGATCCCTCCTACTTGATTAGTTTTCCATTACACGATCGACGACGACTGAGTCCTTTCCGGAAGTCATGTTCAAAAATTTCTGGTAATCATCCCCCTTTTTACAATCTCTGTTCTTCCTTCAGTTGATTTAATTTTACATTTTTTTTTTGCCTTTTTTCGATGAAAATGAAACGCTTCGAGGTCAATTAATCTAGGCTTGTAGTCACTGATATGAATTAATATGGTATGATTACTGTGAGTCACTGATATGAATTAATATGGTATGATGATTGTGTGGGTTATTCGATTTTGTCAGATATAGGGCGAATTCGATTCTGCTGTCTTCATATATACTATTAAACAATCAGGATAGACAGTTGGTTGATTGAATTAATTTGAATTGCCTCCGTAATTGGCAGAGATGACCTAATTTTGATGATTTTTGCGTTTTTGGGTCATATTAAAATTGGCTGTAAGAAATTAATTAGGAGCTTTCGTTCTTCGTTTCCTGTATTGTTTTTTGGCGTAACGTATGGAGATGTAATTTTCTTGGTATGAATTGGATTTATGTCGATAGGGGCTCCCAGGAGCAGCAAGGTCAGCCCACAGAATCATGGTATCCGCCTTCGGTTGTGAATTCGCCTAGCTCGTCTCGCCCCACAACACCTGGTTCCAACAACTTATCAAGACCGACCGATCGAGCAAGCTCTTTATCAAATGTTTCGCCTGCAGAAGCAGCCGGAATTATTGCTGTTTTGAAAGATAAGAGGTGACAACTTTACTGAAGCATATAATTTTCACCAGGGTTAATGTTTTGTTCCTTCTCCGATTTCTCGACATCAGATAGTGATGAAATTGCGTAGAAATTTTGCTGTGACTGAGTTGCTATTCTTTGTTTATCCTGAGCTAATGTACGGATGGTAATGAGTTGATGAATAAAATGTAGCCTTGTTGTTTCTGTTTATGATAGTGTTGATGATCTGAGGAAGCTTCTGTCGGACAAGGATGCTTATCAGAATCTCTTACTTTCACTCGAACCTGTTAAAACTCAAAACAGGGTAAGTTTCAGGGCTTTTCTTTCCCCTTCATATCGTTATTTACCGTTTTGCCCTTCTTGGTTCTAACTTGGTGCTTGTCCTGTTAAACTTGGGTTTGTTTTGCGTGATGTATATATATACACATAAATTACATTTCCAGGATTTTTTTTTCAAACTTTGACACTTCTTCTTGATATGTATGTGTGTGCCCATGTGATTCTAGTTTGGATTTTTGAACTTCCACCGTATTTATATTTGTTTCTTCGTGCTTATTCTGTTTATGTAGTCTTCATAGCAAGCTACGGCTTTCCAATTGTCTTTACGCAACTCATTTAATATGTTTACTCAATCAGGTCAGAGACGAACTTAGGAACGAAACACTGCAGCTTGTTAGTAAGTCCTCTGTTTGCCGCATATTCATTTTCTTTTTTTGAAACATTACTGCACTTTTATCAAGCATAATAATTAATGATCTTATATACAGGAGAAAATGTGGACAAAGAACCATGCATAATGGAGCTAAGGAATCAGGTTAGTTCTGCGGCCTTGGGTTGGGATTCACTTAATTTTTTCTTTTGGACGCAATTTGCACTTATGACATTGTTTTTCTTCTTGGTTTTCGTGGCTTCAGTGCAGAATCATTCGAACTACAGAGCTGGCAACTGCTCAAGAAAAATTGCATGAATTAGAGAGGAAAAAAGAAGATACTCTTAAGTATTACTCACCCTCATCTCTCCTCGTTCGACTTCAAGGTATGCTTATTTAGCTTCGCACAAGTCTGATGTGCCTTATTGGGGTAACTTTAATATTTTGGCAATGTGTAATCAAGTCGGTTTGGTCAGTTCAGTTTCACCAAGTACGTCATTTTTCTAAATGCCGTCTTACCCAAACCCTCTTCAAGTTTCACCATAACAATGACAGTATCATTCACAAATCGACCGTCTCCATGGAATACCTTCTATAATTAATTGTTTTATAATTAGTTTGATGATCATTGGAATAACGAATTTATACTTAACATGTATAAATCAGATCCTTCTCTCAAAACTGAATGAACTACTTTTCCTTGGATTGATAGTCTTCTTACGGAATTATCTTAACAAAAAAAAAAACTGCCATGCTAGTATAATTTAGTAATGGATATTATTAGTTCATTATTGTTTCTTTCCCCCATGAACGGGGGCAGGGGCCTCCAAGATTTTTTTTTTCTTTTCCCCTCGTTATATTATTCGTTTACGCGAGTGGTTTGACATAAATGCTTTGCTTCATATGTCATCTATTTCTGCATGTCGAGTCTTGAGTTTCTTACGAAAGGCCAATGGTGAATATGGTTGATATGGGATAGCTTTAACTCAAATGATATCTGTGAATTAAACTAAATAAATTATCATTGTATTATTACAGATGCAATGAATAAAACAGATGAGGAATCGGAGACGCTGCACAGGCAGCTTCTTGATGGAGAGATTGATCTTCCAGCGTTTGTACAGAAATACAAGAAGATGCGTTATACGTACCATAAACGCGCTCTCATACATCTTGCTGCAAAGACAACTGTAACTGGCTGAACCATGGTATGCCGTAAAACTATATGTGATTTTGGAAGTTATACTGCTTGTGTAAAATAGTTTGTACTGTGACAATATTGTGTTTTCTCTCCTCTCTTTGTTTTCGGTTTCATCTTGTTTTGTATTTCGACTTCGAACGGTTTTATTAAGGATACCAAACATCAAATTAAGTCCAACTATTTAATTAATCATGGCTTATATTGGCAACCAAGCAGGACCTAAGTATTCAATTCTTCCGTTTCACGTAAATTCAGATGCGCGGTCATAATTTATATATAATCAAATTAAAGTATGATACTCAAAATTATCTTCCAAAAAAGGGATTGACTTTCATATTTCAACATAGATATAATTATACATCTTCTAAAAAATATCAAGTGAGTTTGTACCTAGCTAGTAATAGTAGCAGCAGCCAATTTGTTAGGTATAAGTCAATATAATATTAACTCCAAATTGTTGGTTAACATCTGAGGGGAAGAATGCATGTTGCTATAGCCTACGTGTAGAGTGTACCATTACTAGGGTGGACCCTAATCAATTTAATAGCTGTATATAGGATTGAATTTGCGATCTGAATTGCATAGAATTGATTGAGGAGAACATCACTTACCTGTTCAATGAAGGGAATATTTATCGTGTTTTACATACATACAAGGGTATATAAAAAAAAAACATTTGTTAGATATTTGCATGTTTTGCATGAGTGTATATATATATCGTCTCATAGCACCAAAACAAATTATATAGAGTAAATTACAGCTCATTCCCGAGTTAAGGTTAAATTATAAAAAAAAAAAAAAGACTTTCATATAATCATAACAACCCCTTAACTATGAATTTTTTTATACGTCCATTCTTACGGTGTCAAAGTTAGTAAAATTGTCTAGATTATGTCAATTTTCTACAGTTTGTACCCGTTTTACCCCATTCGAGCTCCACATTTTGAAATAAGATGATAAAAAGATGTGTCTTTTAGCTTGTAAATACCAGTTTGTGGTGCATCAAAAACTGCATTTTTTGCAGAAAACGAGTACAAACTAGATAACATTCAGCGGAATTTATAAGATTCTGTTGAATTTGACACCATATGAGTGGACATGTAAGAAAATTTATAATTGATGGAGTGATTGTAGTTACCCAAACATAAGGGGATTTTTCGTAATTTGACCTTACCTCATCAGTGACCGTAATTTACCCAATTATATATGATTAAACAGTTGTGTAGAACATTAGTTTTTATTTCTCGTTTATATATCGATTGAGATATGCCTGTCCTAACACAATTTCGTGGGTGTTCTGTAAAGAAAAAAACTCATATTTCTTGTTCAAAAAAAAAAAAAAACTCATATTTTTCGGTTTTGTCATTATTCTCCATCCGTTTTATATTAATTGTCATCGTAGACAAACTTTTTATTGTTCCATATTATCCGTCAGTTTATAATACGAATATTGTATTGATTATTCAACTTTATCCTTATTACTCCAAAGTGCTATCAAACATCAACTCTCACAAATGGAGAGAGTAATCAATAAAAAGAAAATTAGTTGAAATATAATATGATACTGTAACATACTTTATTTTAATCAATGCATATTTATTAGTTTTATTTATTTTTGAAGAAAAAATATTAGCTTTAATAGTACATTAAAGGCTAAATCCACTTTGCATTCTTGAAATGTTACATTTTGGTACTTTGCACCTTTAAAAAAATTAATAACACTTTGCATTACCGATACACAATAAATCATTCATAATTTACTTTTTATTGAAACTTTAAAACTTCATTAGCCTACAAAACAAAAAAAAATCAAATCAAATTATTATTTCCAGGCTGTAAAATAACAAATCAAATTATTATTTTCGTCCAGCCCCAATATAAATTCAAGCGTAGATATTTTCTTATAAAAAAAATCTTATTAAATTATTCGATTGATGGATTTTTTTAATTTTTTTATCAATGAGTATTTGGTAGAAATCTTTGAAGAAAATATAATTTTCAAATAAGTTGATACCAAAATAACTGAAGGATTCGTTTTGTATTTTTTTTTTAAATTGTGAAAAAAAATAATGTAATATGTTGATGAGATATAATTTTATTTTTGCACTTCGTAGTTTCGAAAAGATTGATGAATAATAAAAAAAATATTTAACATTTGACATCCTAAAAGATACCATTAAAATATTAAATTACCTTCATTAGCTTTAAATATTCATTCGAGGTGCACTATACATGATCATTCATTGTGTTTCGAGGGTGCAAAATGCTATAAAAAAATAATTCGAGGGCAAAATGCCGAAAAGCTATATTCATGGGGTGCAAAGTGGGATTAAGCTAAATATTAAATAACAGTTATATTCTGAAAGAGTACGAATCAAAGGAAGAATCTCTGATTAAGTTAACTAAGCTAGGTCACCATCACAGAAAAAGTTAATTTCCCCCATTCCAGGGTAATTTCGGATCCTCAAATTACATACTTTTGGCACTATGCATCCTTAAATTAAAAAAAAAAAAGTCATAATGCAAGGTGCCAAGCAAATTATAATTAGAGGGTGTATTCTGCTATTTTTTTAATTTAAGGGTGCAAAATACCAAAAGTATAAATTTGAGGGTGCAAAGTGCCAATTATCCCCATTCCATGTAATAAATAAATAAAACTAATTAATTAAAGGTGCTGTTCTTTTATGTAAACGGCCCATGTGGGTAGCTGGGCCCATGAAAACTATAAAGACTTGCCTTTTTATATATAATATATATATATTTAAATTACATGTATACTTTAATTTACAACTTCCAAATAACAAATTATGCATTATTGAGAGTTTGTTTTCTTTTACGACCCCCCTCCACCACCCCCCCCAAATGGAATATTCTAACCTATAAATTTGCTTATTTTTGTATAAAGTAGTTTTTAAAAAGAGTAAAAAATAAAATAAAAAAGAGGGAATATATAATTAAGACCAAAAAGGAGCCCTTTGAGGAATGCCTTTTCTTCTTCTTGCGGTGGAATGAGGTGGCGGAGGCGTGGGCGGCGGGTATATGTCTTGTTCTATGCCTTCACGCAACATTTCTTCCGATGATGATGATATTGACATATTTACCCCTTCCCCTCTTTCTCTAAACCTTCCATCCCCATCCCCCTTTATTCCTACAACCTATTTTTTTTTTTTTTTTTCAAAATGATATTTATAAATTAAATAAAAGATAAACCCCCACACACAATATAATATTACTAATGATGATTGAGCAAAGTTTATTGTAATGAACATGAATAAATTGGAACCTTCAATTTACTGTAATCGACTGTTTGTTACGAGGTCGATGGTTTAAATCAATTCAGATGCGTGTGTTAATTATAAGATCACATTTATGAATGATATGATAAATATAAATAATAAATAAAGATGATGATGATGATATATTGCCAAATAGTTGGTTATGTAATGAAAAGGATGGTGAATGAGGACCATATGGTGTATATATGAATGTGGCTCATCAATATTTTGATTTTGTATGAACATGAGGAATGTGAAATAATTAAAAAAAAAAAAACACACACACACAAGAGGAGAGAGAGAGAGAGAGAGAGAGAGAGAGAGAGAGAGAGAGAGAGAGAGAGAGAGAGAGAGAGAGAGAGAGAGAGAGAGAGAGAGAGAATTTGGACAAACCTTACAACCCAAAGAACAAAAACGGAAAGTGTCCAAAAGGCTTCTCCCACAGATTTCACAGACATGAGAAACAGCCTTACCGCACTTAGGCTGAGGGCGCTCGTTGAGAAACAAAACCCTGGCGCTGTTTATTACATACGTTTGCACACCACTTATATCCAGAACCTTCTGAATCTCCGACACTCTCACCACATCATGATATGAAGATCTCCTTATCTACATTATTAATTTATTACATATTAAAACATCTACCATTGTTTTTATCATCATCATCATCATTAAATTAAAATAAAATAAAATAAAGTAATGATGAAATTAACAATAAACAAATACCATATTTAATTTTCTTGTAACGCCAATAATATTTATGACTACAAAGAAAAAAAAAGGGGGGAAATTAATTATAAAGTATAAACTGATGATGGATCAACCTGAATAACTTGATGATCTTTGTGTTTGGAGGAGCGACAGTAGAAGCAAAATGCATCGGCATTGCAATCCAAACAATACATATTGCATTCACTCCGGGCCGAGTCCACGTGGGCCCGGCACACTCTGAAGAAGTCCGTGCTCAACAGTTTCTCCAGCCACGGCGGCATCGCCATTGCATTCTGCGCCGATTAATTACACCAACAAACAATGATTTTTTCAATACCATAATTAACTTTTTGAGTGAAAACCAAAATCTCTAGACAGAGAAAAAACAAAAATGATCATAAAGAGTAACGGAGAGAGAAAATATTATATATATATATAATTACTGGTCTATATATATATATATATACACACACACATGTATGTACAGGCATTACCTGCATCTTCAAATATTGGGATTGCTGCAATGGCGATGGGGAATTGGGAGATAACTTTTCTTTGAGGGAAATGTTGTAGAGAGAGAAAGAGAGAGAGAGAGGGAGAGAGAGAGAGAGAGAGGAGGAGAGGGTGGGGGTGGGGGTGGGGGGGCTAATAACCTAAACAACCAGCAACTTAGAAATCAACAACAAAACTACACCTAAGCTAAGGGACGAAAGCCTAAATAATTATGAAATAATTAATCAACGGACGGTCGAGATGAAAAGGGGTGGCTCGAGATTTTTTTGAAGCGTTGGATCTGAGGAGAGAGAAACAAAGGAGGTGGAAGGGTTTGGTTATTTATTGTTTATTATTTTTTATTTTGGGATCTTCTTTGCGTCTCTACGTAGGCATAAGGGTCGGCTACGCTACAACTACAAGTGCCTTCAAGTTTTCAACTATACACCTCCATACGACGTCGTTGCGGTTGCTTGAGTTGTTCAGTTCTTTAAAGTGAATTGTCCGTAATACCCTCGAGCTTTCTCCTTTATTTGTAATCCAATCTAATTCTCATGTGTGTTTTTGAATATTGGATTCTGATTTTCTGACTCGTGACTGCGTTGACATTTAAATTAAACTCTGTGGTTCTATATCGGTTAAATTAATTCATCAAGATTCTTTTCTAACAAAAATATTTTTTTTTTTTTACTTTTTTTTTTAATAATTCAAATCGTGTTACAAATTGAGAAAGTAGAGAAGAGGCTATGCAGACTCTCAATTCATTCATAATAAGATATTTTCTCGTGCATAAAGTAAATATATAATTAATTAATATTATTTTATTTGCAATATTATTATAAATAAATGTATATCTGCTCACCATTATGACCGAGCAACATTGTTACTTGGTCGGATAAGGAAAAAGGCCTAACATTACACATATTTGGCATGTATGATTAGTCTAAAAAGATTTCTTTGTAGAAAGAAAATATTTGATTTTTATATTAGTAGATTCGTAAAGACATTGAAGCAAAGAATACTTGTTTATTGCTGCCGGCATACGAAGGTTTGGCACAAAACTATGTTACACAATCGCCATCCAATAGGATAAAGTTGTGAACTATTGGGATTTTTAACAAGGACATATTGCGCAAAAATACATGACACGGGAGGGTGTATGAGTCTATGACTAAATTTATTTTCAGTAATTGATAAGCTCTTATGTCTGATAAGATGTTTTAAGAGTTGATAAGTTGTTACATCTTATTTTTAGGGTTAATTTTTAAAGTCTTTGGATAATGAGTTTATTTCCTAATTTTTACTCAGTATAAGATCTTAAATAAAAATGTGAGTGATACGGACCACTTCACCTCTAAGAACCACTTTGTAAACAAACATGACTTGTAAAGGGCCTGAATCCAGTGGGGAAGCCAGTGTATGCCCCCCACCCCCCGGGGGGCATTGGCCCGTTCTAAAATATTAATTTTTTTAGTACTATATATGCATGTATAGTTTTCTGCATTTGCATTGTCCTCATAGAATAAATGGATCTAACAAATAGGATAAAAAAAGTTACAAATTGTGACTTGAAACTAGGGGCAAATCCACCATTGGGAAGTGATATGTACTCAAGTCATCCTCAATTGTAAAAAATAAAAATTTCCACTGTATTACGCCTTTATATCTACTAAGTCCACCAAATTTTTATTATTTAGTGCACCTAAAGTCCAAATAAATGCAAAAAAAAAATACCAAGTTCTCTTTTCCTATCACTTGGTTTTGAAAAAAAAAACCGATATTTTTTTCGGGGACGCTACCCCCGAACCCTCAAAAAATTAAAGTCCACCATGTCGCAACATCTTAAATTCACCATTGTTGGAGCAACCATTTTTTTCATTAAATTTTTTACATTATATTTTAATACATATTCGGGCCCCCCAGTAATGAAATCATGGCTCGCCACGGCCTGAACCTCAACTTATCGCATAAACTGGCCCAACAAGCAATATAGAGACTATAATCAGGGAATAAACCGAGTTCCTAAGCATCCCACCTCGGCGAATAAGAGAAGCCTGAAGTACTTACACTATATAAGATAGGCTAAGCCTCGCCTCGTGTTGAGAAGAACCTCAGAAGTAATACGAGGTGAGGTTAGCATGGATCTCACCTCGAACTTCCGAAAGCGAGAGAAGCTCTTAGTAGCTCCAGGAAGCCGTAACATTGGGCGGCAGGGCCAAGAAGTTGGGGAAGAAATCCTAAAAGGAAAGCCTTGACTCCCAAGGCAAGAAACCTCTATAAAAGAGATGTCCTGATCTTAACAAACTCACACACAAGACACATACGCACAACATTATACTGTATATAGTTTTAACATATAGAGAGAAAGATGGTTTCTGACTTGATCGTTGGAGACTCTACACCAGGAAAACCCCTTCTCAGCACTGTAGGTACCTTTCTAGCCAAATCTTCGACGAACTCTCACACAAAGTATCTTACTAGGAGATACTAGTCATCATCCTAAGGACATCGAATCAGATCAGTGGGAGTAGATATACTGTTTTAAAAAGATCTTATTTGCTCTCCAACAACTTATTTAAGAAAAAATAAGATATTTTTTTAGAAATTTACTAAACACTTTGGAAAAGATTATATAAATACTTATTTGTTACTAAGAAAAACTTTCATATATATGTTGTGTATGTGTGTGTATATTACTAAGATTATTTTAGAAATACTTATATGTTGTGTATGTGTGTGTGTGTCTTATTAATTGAAGTAAAATTGCTACTGGTAAATTCTAGAAAAAAATCCCGCTCATTTTATAGTTTTAATGTCATTTATTTAATTAATTTCATTTAATATTATTTGTTTTAAAAATATTTAATTATTAGTTCCTATTTTTTTTCTTCGAATCATGCAATTAATTATTGACTCCTATTATTAGTTTTTAGGGTATAATACTAATTATTAAATTTCTAGATATATTTTATTTATTAGTAAAAGTAAATTTGTTCCTGATAAATTCTAGGGTTTTTTTCCTATTCTTTTGCCCCGAATCTATGCAATTAATTATTCACTCCTATTATTAATTTCCAGGGTATATATACTTTGTTTATTAAATTAAGTTTTTTCGAATTTTTGTTTGCTCAAATTAGAGAAAATATAAATAAATTAACGATTTTATGGAAATTACTGATCTCTCTTATGTTTTTCTTTTAAGCAATGCAGCCTTTATTCATTTATAAAGAACCAAGTTAAGAGGAAGAGAATCCCTTTCATTACTTGAAAATGGAAAGCGAGTGGTAATAGTTTGTGCCATTAAATTTCCACAGCGCTTGACAAAAGAAAAAGTATAGGAGATAAGCGAGGATGCTAAGAAAAGACTCTTCTCCACGTAGCCTCTGAATGAAGATTCAAAGTTGGATCCCGACTTGAATGCGTTGATGACAAGCAAGCAATGTTTTGAAAATCAGACCGAATCGGCCGGTCCGACCGGTTCAACCGGGAACCGTCGCCATGTCAAGTGCGATAGAAGTGAAAACCCAAATAAGTCAAAAACACGGGTAAACTACCAAAATCCTGGTTGTCTGATGTCGTTGCAGTCAGTTGGGAATCCGTCTTCCTATGTCGCTGTATAATTTAATGGTACGTTCGTTTTATGTTTTATTAAAATTCACTTTGTCGTTGTTGAAGGGGATTAATTTCATTATGTAATTACATTCTATGAAGATGGTTGGTGTAGGCCTTAACACCACCCCCCCCCCCCCCCCCCCAATGCCGGTGATATTGTTTCTTATTTGATAAGTTCGTATACATGCAATACATTGATATAATTATTTTTATATTGCGAGTTTATGCTGTGACTGGAGTTATGTCCCAAGTAACTTATGTCGGATTGCGTTTATCTTAATTTTTTTTCTTTCCAAATTTTCTTATATTCTAATTTTCTATTAAATTGAATTTTTTTTTCTGTACTTGATAGTTGGAAAATTTGATTACAACATTTCCTCTACCAGAAATTTATGGTTCCCCTTTCCTTTTGGTGTTTAATAATTGAGTGTAAATTTTCCTTCATTTTTGTATGATGTGTTCAATTTTTATAATTTATCGTATTCATGCACTTAATTTTCCCTCATTCCTAATGTTTATAATTTTGTATGCGTGCACATAATTTAATACTATTACTAATAAAAAATATATATGTCGTGCATCGTACGAGAGGAGTTACTAATCAAAATACGATGTTTACTTAAAATTTAAATGTTTTTTTGAAATCTAATGGATTTTTTAGTAGATCGACTTCACTTTTGCATTAATTATTACAATGTCGTGCATCGCGCGGGTGAAGTTATTAGTGTGTGTGTATATATATATATACACTAAAATTACCTCCACCCATTTGAAGCCTTATTTAATTCTCCACAAATTCATTATTAAACTCTAATTTAGCCTCAATATCACCAAGTAACAAATTTTGGCCGTTACTCTTGTCGACCACCGGTCTTGAACCCTCACTTTCTTTTTTTCTTTTTATTTTATTTTTTTTGGAAAAAAAATTCCGTCACTGTCGTTGACCATTGATATCCAATGCTGACTTTTTCCTTTTGGTTGTTTGACAGTCATAAAATAATTTAATGTTAACACAATAATATTATTGTATTATCAGTAATATAAAGTAATATTATTGTGTTGTATTACAAGATTATTGTCTAAGACAATAATATTGTTGTTAACACAATAATATCATTATGTTAATATTAGTATTACTGTTAGCACGATACTATTATTGTGTCGGTTTGTTTAAAAAAATTAAAAAACATATAAGAAAATATTTAACATTATTATGAACACGGTTATTATTGTGTAAGACGGTAAGATAATTGTGTTGTGTTCACATTAATGTTACTTTGTTGACCGATCAACGGCGGAAAAATAAAATAATTTAGGAAAAAAATAATAATAAAAAAAATGGTTAACGCCGGAGACTGACATTCAAGGGCGGTGGCGGGAACTATTTTGACAAAGAATTGGGAAAAAGGGTCTTTTCCGAAAAAAATAAAAGAAGTTAACAACAGTTAGTGGACGGAAAAAAATTCAGAAAAAAAATTATTTTCTGAAGAAAAATATATTTTGTTTTTAAATTGTGAAAAT